AAACATGTGCAACAATTTCGTTATTATTTGACATCCTTGAGCACATACACAGAAATGGCCTGATTTAATCGCTGCAATTTATATTAAAGCTAGTATAATCTTTAAATTTTATAATGTCATTCTATAAGATCCAAGTCAGATGCAGTTTCTTTGAGGCCAGCATCCCACAAGACGTTGCAGAAGCATGTTTACCGGATGGATGGTGATTTGTGGAGCCGTACATCTAGCAGTATACATGAGCGGATATAATTCGCGCGTCAACGGCATGTGCCGGACGGCCGCTCCGCGTAGCAACGCGTGTTCTCACCTTGACTCACTTTGTACCGCTTGCTTGCATTGCGCTTGCCTCCTCATTACTGTTACAAACATCTAATGAAATCTTGTTATATTCTATTTCTAATGTAAATCAATATTCCAATATGAATAGAATTTTTGTAATGAAAAACCGATAATTATTTCTAAACAATATAATAAAAGTTGCGAATTGTGATAAGCGTCACCGGAAGTGACGTATCGTTTATTTAAATTGTACGTAGTCAAACTAGAACAAGAAAATGTTGTATTCTGTTTGTTTCACAATAAGTGCCATAAAAATTGATGAAGAATGGCAATCTAAATAAGATTAAATCCAGACATCGAAACGCGTAGCAACACATCACAAACAGGAAAACGTCACCAAACAAGCGTACAGTTGGACAGTGACGCGCCCGCTAATCATATAATTACGCATTTACATGCGAGCGTTATTGACATAAATAGACGATTTTATTACAGCTTGTAGAAAAATACTATTATACTACATATGAAATATTCAAAATTGATAATAAATGATGACCAAGTCCACTTTTAAACATAATGTTTAGATTTTTTGTTTAGACATACTCTTGAAAGATTCGCAACAATATTGACGTCAGTTTCTAATCTTTAAACCTAACTTCTGCCACTTACAAATAACAAATATTATCTATAACAGTAACAAATTGAAACCGATGAAGTGAGACAGCAATGATTTCTATTCTGTAACCAGTGCGAACGCAAGATATCGCAATTAATCGAGCCGGATAGGCCACAGCTGATGTCCGCCTCGCTACGATGTACCGATGCACGCTATTGAGTACAGACTGCAATAAAACAATCGACACCTGAGTGGATATTCTCATGGTTCTTGCTGGGATGTCACAATTAATTATTGTTAGAATTTATAGTATCCGCCTTGTGCTCGTAGTTTCATTATTATCAGACAAATATTACTACACTGGCAGCAGAATTAGAACAAAATGAGAAATAATATCACAAATTACATCACACCTACAGTGCATTCTCAAATTACACATGTCTGTGTATTCTCAGGATAAATAAAAACGAACTACGACACATAGCATTAAAGAAAAAGTACATTAATCTTACAGTAACCCAAAAACCGAACATAACACGCACATAATTTGTAACCGGCTCGGCACGGGGCGGCAGCGGCGTACGACCGGCACGCAGAGTGAATTCGCTATCTCCTATGAGGATAGGCCGCGCCACGGCGTCGTATCCGATACCGCAAAATGCAATGAAACAATAATGAGATCGTAAATCACGAGATAAAATTTCTTACGATAGGGATAAAAAAGAGGTCGAAGCGAACTCGACAACCGAGCTATAAATATTGATCGCGGTCTCCTTGACTCGAATCGCACTGGCATCGACCGGGCCGTTGCGAAATTTCGCCGGTGGCTTACTCATTGTCGCCTACTGCATCTAGTGCGGGTGACCGGCTGCCGCTGTTGCGTCATCGCATTGCAATATTTTTATACGTAAACAACTTATTGCACAGTGGAATCGCCTGCCACATTATTCGACAAGACCAAATTGAATTTCCAAAAATTTCAGATTCCAAAAAGTTCAAGAAGAGAAACCAAGTTCATATTGGCGCTACTGTATGCCAGCTAACGCGAGTTAAAAATGATTTTTTGTCAAAAACGCAACATGAAGGATTTAGTTGCATTTTTTACATATTAAAGTTAGTCAATTCAAATAATGAGAAATTTCGAAAGAATTAGCGTAGGTACTGATTCAGTAAACCTGTGACGTATACGTAGATCAGAAACGTAATAAGTAAACGGAACAAGCAAAATTAACTAATGTAGTACGCTTATTGTTATACATATTCGAATATGCCGTGGATTATGTAATAAAATAACAACTTATATATCCTCTTCAACTCAATGTACGTTCAAAACATTTATTTGTAAATATTTCCTTAATGTATAGTTTTGTACATAAACTAAAGCTGAAGTTTGGTTGATGTATAATACAATTAGCGGCGAATATGTTGAAAAAAAAAACAATATCGAATACCGTTTTTATGTTAAAAGCATAACTTGTTTATAGTGCATTGGTGCAATGTATGCATTTCGGTTGAAACCTATTTACCGTCAGTGGAATGTCGAGCACGTGACGCAATTGAGGTCATTTGATACCGTTCACGCGGTCAGCAGAACAGCTAAATACTCGAACACTCCAAATAACCTGCTTAGTACACTAATTATTATTTTAAAATAAATAGTTTACAGAACATGTTGCATTTTATTCTAATTGTATACAAAAATTAGATACTTAAGAAATATAATTTACGCTTTATTGTTCAATTTAAAAGTTTTGTCAGATATTTTGAATAATAGTCGTATTGAAGAAAGTATAGCTTTGCTTGTCTATTTAAAAATGGTATTGTAAAAATTGTGTTGGAACTTAAAAGCTAAAATTTTCCTTCCATTTTATTATTTCAAAACGTAACGTTTATTTTATTATTAATTACAACAACATTTAGGTTTGGTTAACAAAATCAATTGGTATAAATTGTAAACTTCCCGTTATATTAAATATTTTATTAAAAACATAAATGAGTTACTGTTTCTAAGGAAAATTGTTAATAACTACAATAAGAATGACGAATATTTGAATCCATTATATTTTTTTTTATAACATGTAACAACGAGAATAAGAGGTTAAATAATTTTTCTAAAATAATATATTTTGTTTATAAAAATGTCTATAAATTAAAGTTTTTTTTGGAATGTTGGTTTCACGTTAAAACAGAATTTCGAAATAATTAAAGGCGTAAATATAAAATCAATGTCGTTTTAAAGTTACATAGAAGAGATGCAGCAAGACAAAGACTGGCAGGGCGCCATGTAAACAGAGCACCATAGAGACATATAGAGCAACGACCAGCCCCGTACGTAAATAGAATATAATCTATAATTAAACCGTTCAAATATAAACGTAGAGCTATCGGAGGGGGGACTCCACGTGTCTGCCAGGCGTCAACATTAATTACCACGGCTTTTGTTCTTGTATAGTAACACGTATGGAGAAGATTTTATTTTTAATACATCCAATAAGAAGATACTTTAAACTGTAAAAGTGTCCGTAACATTAATCTTACCAATATTATAAATGCGAATGTTTGGATGGATGGATGTTTGCTCTAAGGTATATCCAGAACGGCTGAAAGGGTTTCGATGAAATATAGCTACTACTTATGTTCCTTTTTAGTTCCACGCGAACAGAGTATTGAGCGACAGCTAGTATCTAATATTTGGATTGACTTGTTATGTTAAATCTATAAACAAAGGCGATGATTTTATTTGTGATGACTATTATCAAATGGCTCATTGCCAGTTATTGGGTTGCAAGATTACTTTGCCACTGACACGAAAACAACAGTAAGCCTTCATGGAATATTACCGTTTTATACGATGTAATTAAACGAATACTAACGAAACAAAAACTTGCTGTTCCACCTTTATTTAAGTCTTGTTTTAAATTATAATAACTAGGAAGAAATTTTAGATAATTCATTTAATAAGTGACTGTATTATTAAATAAATAATTAATAATAATAATCTCTACAAATTCCTACAAACGTGGCGTACTTACTCGTGCCTTTATATGACGCAGGAACACCGCCTACGCAACTCTAGTTGCAGTGAAAACTACGCCCACACGGGCTAAAGGTCACGGAAGCTACACGCGCAAGTGTTGTAAACAGGATAAACTAGGATAATTGCAATGTTATGGAAACCGTACACGAATAAAACCATAGGAGATGGGCAAAATAGTTCTCAAGTCATTTAGTCGCGGCAATATACAAAATTAAATTGTTATCTGTAATTATAATCAAGCTAAGTCTTTGAGGAATTTGTGTCTTAAATTTTTTTTATAATATTAATAACCTAACCCAGAGACTACTTCATGTACGGCAGTTAATATTGCAAGATGTGACAAAATTAATTTAGTTTTAAAAATAAGTAGTATAAATCAAAGGTCTATTTATGAACAAACATTAATATAAACATAGCAACCTATTACTAAAGTTAACACGATTATCGAGTGTAAAAATTATAATTCGTTGCCGCAATAACCCGGTCACTATTTCATTGAACAGTTTACTGGTTCATTGAGTTTTTCTTATTTACGCCGCTATAAATTTCACTCCCACGCCGCCCACCTCCTAGAATCGTGTCAGAAAGCCCACGGCGCTATGCTAAAGGTCGTACTCTAATTTTTTTCCAAAGGTTATTTATAAATTTTTATCAATTAAGTTACAGTTGACTAAATAAATATAGTAATATTTGATGCCGTGTCGGGAATAAGAGTAGAGGTACGTAATCTTCTGCTGGATATGTCAACTCAACGACCTGGTACTATACAAGGAAATTGGAATATACCAAAATAGAATACCTAAATTATCGAGAAGTATGTAGTTTAATGGATGAAGAAGAAGCGACCGGTGTGTATGAGGGTTATAGGCGTGATTGTTCATTTATTTTAAATCGTTACAAGATGTAAAGAAAACTATATGACCTTGATGTAATTAAACTTTAAAATAAATATGTCACAACGTGTAAGTCCAAAAATGTAAACACACACAAGGTTGCAGTAATTTCCGTATTCGTTTATATATACTATTTATATTATAAAACGCAGTGACGAAAAATGTTATAACTTACCTCATTAATATGTTTGTAAGTCTTGATAAGATCCACGCTGAGTTTCCTTAACGGTGCTGTCGAAGGATCCCGAAAGTGATGTGGTATCCTCGCCTGCATGGCCTAGACAAAACAGTACTTATTATTAAAAATAACTTAATAAAAATCCGCGCAAGCAAAACAAAATGAGATGCATAAGGTGATATGTGATGAAAACAGAAAATGTGTGCTTTGTGATATTAAAAAATGACATCGATAAAAAGCTACAAGCGATCTACATAATATAGGCATATCTTAAACAAAAAACATATAGCATAGATATCAAAATAGAACAATCTACAAAATATGTGAAAGCATAACGAGAATAGAAGATAGCAAAACTCAATACAACAATACTAACATTAATCAAAAGATAAAGAGTGGGCGTATAAAGCGAGTTTAACACACGAGACGGTTTCAAATAAACACCTAAGGTAATAAATAATAAACAATCAGTTTATATATAAAAATCACTCGAGCGATATCTATATCTGTAACTAGGATATAAGAAACAGTATAAGAATATATTATCTAACTTTATAACCTTACGTATAAAATGGTGAAAGAAATATTTTCACGCAAACAATCGAAACAGAAGGAAGCAACAAATGCTTATTGAATGTCTAGTAGTAAATATATCGCAAAGTTAATTGTAGTAATTTTATCGCATTTTATACATTAAAATATCTAGTGGGTTTTTATTCCAATCATATAAATCTGATCTATATAGGTCTACGTGATATTTTCGACAAGTCCATCCCCATTTTTCTTGATGTACTCCGCGTCATAATGGGACGCGAACAAAGGCGCCGACAAGTAGTCCACTCATTTGTACTCATGATGGAAGACTAAGCGTTTTGTCCTAATGTCTACATTAAAAGGGTCGAAATCGGCTGGGCGAAATAGATATTTTTCTACATTATGTTACAAGACTTACGGGATTCCTTATCAACGAAACAAAATTTGGTGGAAATTGAGCGTCTTATTATTTTTTTAATTAAAATAAAAAAAAACATTGTTGAATAAAACGTGTTTAATTAAATAATCTTGGAAAAGTTTGAGCCATACCTAGTCGCTACTTTGTGTCTCAATTAGTCAACATTTTCAAAGCGAGTTTCTCCGAAGGTTATTGTCCTCAGACGTCCCTCATACAGTCGCGGTTTGCGATTCAATTCAATTCACTTGCAAGTTGTAGACTGTTTACAAGGGTTGTTTAAGTATTACATTGTGTATACGACCAATAATAGAGTCGTTGTTACGACGTATATGTATTCAGAATTTGGGCTAAGCTTTATTTTTACCTGATCAAGTCCTCCGCGTACTGTACCGGACCGTGTTTACACAAGAAATTTTAAGTATAGGATAATTGAAAGGGAACAATGTAGGATAAGGCTAAGGATGTTTGGATGCACAGTCCGGTGCAGCGTGCGGTTTGCTAACCGCCTCGTGCGTCATTTACCTGTGGGGGGTAACGGTAGCGGCAGAAAGCTCGGGTGTTGCGCGCTCTAGCGCTCACCTGAATGTCGGACGGCGCGCTCATCGAGGGCAGCTGGTCCTCGGCCACCAGCCGCCCGTACAGCGGCACGTGCCGCCGCTCGCCGCCCGCGCCCTCCGGCATGCCGCCGCCCACAACGCCCACTGCAACAATCACAAAATAAACATTTGTAGTAAAATTCATATGTGACAGAAAAACATACAGATATACATTATTTATGGGTAAATATAATAATGCATATGACCTTGATATGATTTCCGGTTTTATACAAGACAATGCAAATCAAAAATGTAAAAAAAATTAAGAAGATATATTTTCATGTGAATTTAGGTAACACGGATTGTAAAGGCGATTGAAAACTAAGCTTCAATCAAGTCAGCAATACGATTTTAAATTCCTCGCTACTTAGGTGGTGGCTGTCCATCTGCCCACCGCCCACGTACCGCAAAACGAACTATCTTGCAACGTTCATATGAATCATTACTTAGATATGAATCGTATTTTCTGAAAGTGAATCACTAATTATTTCGTATCAATTACCATAACATATTAATAATGTACTAAATCACGCAAAGAGAGTAATCTCTATTCCCAGTAAATTTTAAATGATTAAAAATTTACGGAAAACATGATTTGGCAATAATCCTTCAAACAAGTTTTCAATGGGTCATTATCCTGTATCGTGACGCTACCAAATTTGAAAAATATTGACAATAGCAACACGTTCTGTTATCACGCCTTCTAAATTAGGTAGACAGTGATCACGTCAAAGGTGTTCGAGCGAACCGATCAACCAACTTTAAGAAAAAGTTCTTAATGCATTAAAATGTAAAGACATTGTAGTTGATGTGCGTAAAACATGTCACTGAGTATAATCCTCTACTTTCACTTTAGGGAAGTGCTCCGAAAACTTCAAACAGTAAATCTTCAGTTTCACTCTATATGTCGATTTTACTTTAAAAGCGTTGGCCTCGATGCCGCTTATTAACTTCACAATGTTACGAAAGATTAATAAATTCAACCTTGTTAGTATGCGCCACTATAAAAAATCGTTTTGATACTATATACATAAAAAATGTTACCCAATTAAGTGCATTGTATACTGTAGCAGTGCCATTGGGGTTAAAGATTGTACGATTGTTATTAACCATGTTTGATATTTAATCACTGAGTAAACATAGTTTTACGGTACGTAATCCAAGGTGTGACAGCGAACTTTATCGCTTCAGAGGTCGCAGACGAGTTAATTCAAGCTTATTTATGTACCGTCTGGCACAATGTGACATTTCATAATAAAACACCACCGTTCGAGTCTCTCGTTTATTTCAAGGCGAGTTGTCTGAGCAAAAAAGTTTGTTGAATGTCTTGTAAGTTTCCATTTTATAAACAAAGTTTAATTGCGACTCTCAATAATTGGATACAGTTCTTTATTCAATAAATAATCATTTGACTATTATAAATTATTGGCACAAGAACCAAAGCATACGGAGTCTTTATTACTTGAGGAATATATTGTCCGAGAGAAACCAAATAAATAAATTAATTTGGTTGATCCAAATTTTCTGTAATACTTCCGACATCACGTATTGTGTTTTTATTTCCTATGTATTCCCATTGATATGTTCGTATATTAGGTTATAATAAAATACAGATATCTAATAACAATAACTAATCTCATTAATAAAGTATAATTTTTGGTCATAGAATAGAATAACAAAATCGAATAGCAATGTATCTTATAATATACTTTGAAGGAGAAATTGCAAATGAAATGATTATATACTTAAGTCTATGTAATATTGAAGTGTGTTGCAAGCATGCTGCGACTGCACATGTCCACGTGTATACAACTGCGTAGTTGAGTGGGAAACGGTATACGTTACGTGTGCGAAGATGATATTACTGACAATCGCTAGTCGCCGCTCGGAATGATCACGCAACCTCTTGTGTTACTCTAACACCGACTCATTATCACCTTAATTACACATTTATTAATTTCAATTACTTAAATGTTAATCAATAATGTGAGCACTATGACCTTAATATTTTTATGAAGACTTTGTCAAGCACTGTATAAATCTGTACAAAATTTTCAAACAAATATAATTTAGATTTGATAGTTATGTTGTTCGATTGTGCTATACTTTACAGCAGTTAATTGTATTTACATTTATCTACGTTAATTGCGTGTTGTTTACATTTCTTACAATACAGTAATGTGATCATAACGCAATACGTGTGTAGATACTAATAACATTATGTAATACTAATTTATCCCCAACGTTACAACTATATTACAAAGGGCGTTTGATAAACAATGTTATTATTACTTATCAGCTGATAGGCCTTTTGTCAGATATTTATCAAACGAGTACTGTGTATCAAAATAAATCAATGTCGTTCGGCGCGTTCTCATAACATCACATCACACGTAACCGACGCGATGTCGGCGTAGTGATGAATGACGTATACACGATTGAAAATCAGGCCGCATCAAAGAATTAGCATTAAGGTCTGTACTGTTCCGTACAAAGCACCGAGACGTAGTCTGCGCGATCTTCTTCATTTCAAAGCGACAACACGAATAAAAACTACGAAACTTTCGGCAATTTGCAACTCTTCAGTTGGTCGGATACCTAACAACTCAAAAAATGTAACCTATTACACTCGAACAGGTCACATTTGTACAGCGTGGCCAGTAATTTCGAAAGGAATAAAATGTAATGTTGCGTTGTTTACGGCGTACTTACTCCCGCGGATCAATACTCGGCTTATTGGATTTCAATGCCAAAGAGGTGAAACATGTCTTTCACCTCAGAGTTTATTTCGGGGCCGTATGTCAAATTCGGCGTAGAAGGGAGGCACGCGGCGAAAGCGCACGCGATCTTGGTTCCCCGATGGTACACTATAACTACATAGTTTGCATTTAAACTGCGCAGTAGCGGCGACCAGCGTAAGTGGGACCGTGCGATAGTGCTCGATTGTCCCGTTCCATCTGCTAACGTACAGTGGTCGGAGGGGGGAGGAAGGGCTCGCGTGGATGGTATCACGCGGCCGACGAACGCGCGGAGACGAGTTGCTACGTCACCGCTGCAAGCGGGTCGAAACCGGCCACGGTGCCGGCCGACAACCTGTGGTAGCTATGCGTGGAATGCGACTAGCCGCCGGTAGATTGGCGTGGGAGGTGCAACACAGTCAACTTCGTCCCATACGAATCGCAATTGCAGTAAGTCAGGGCAAATTAATTTAGTGTTACGGCAATACAATTGCCCATTCGTTTTCATTATTGAATTAAATTTATAGGTTTTAGTGCCACGAATATATTATATTTGCTCTTATTTGTGGAACATACATACTTAAAGTATTTAATTCCAAGACTGACCTTTACGGACGTAAATACAAATCAATTTATTAATAGTAAGTGTAACCGTGCACATTGTGTTTACGAATTTTGCCTATCGACTGTTTACATCATCGGCATAGCTCGAAATAGTAAACAAATAATAGTGCGCGTGTGTGAAGTTATGACATCCCTGTATCGGATCTATTACAAGGTCATATGGAGGCCCTAGCTGGAAGTTCATGCGAGTACGGTTAACGTGTAATAACTGCGCAGTTCGTCGTCCGACACTTCGAAGAATCCATTAAGTCGGCATCCTTGACATATCGCTGGTAGAAAAATACTCGTGTACAAAGCTAAGGCGACACAGAGCGCAACTCGCCCGAACTACTTACTTTCGTGGCCCTTGTCTCCCGTAATCGATATCATCTCTTCACACTATTCTCACTTAACATAACACAATAATAGTGATCACTTTTGAAACACAACTACAATACTTAGAACACTGTTATCGTTCGCCAATGGCGCGCGTAGGGTTTACGGCTCATTTTTTGAACGTTTGGTTATATCTAGACGTAAGTTTCACCGTCAACTTGTTTACATAAGTGTTGAAGCAACGCGAACGCATATCGTGGACAACTCAGTTTCGCGAGCGCGTATTGTGCAACAGCGTTTATGCACGTGTCAATGTTTTTGTGTGGAAGCGCGAACGTTGGAACGCAGCATCGGCGTGTGCCGGCGCGGCAAGCCCGCTTCAACTAACGCGCGCCGTCGCTGATCGCCGTCAGTAATAACAGAGCGGAAGGCCACGTGATTCAGATGACAAACATGCAGGTTTGCTCCACGATAGCCGCAGCGATTTTATCGATGATTCGCGCGCCTATCGACGCGACCGTTTCCTACTTCCTTGTCAGCAATTGATTTAATAAACAAGCTATTTATAGATGATAAATGTTACAGATATATATGTTTATTTAAAAGTAGAGTATGCATATAAAAAGCGTCAAAACCGAAATACGGGAATATTGCACATAGTTCTAAACTTATACTTCATGTACTTAAATATTTTAGGAGCAATTAAGTAAATTTAATATTAATACAGCTTCAAATCTACATGATCAGAAAGTACTACAGCGTACGCAGTCAAACACATAGGACTATTTTGAAATCACGTTTTGTGTTTAATTAGTAATGTTTTCCGTATTCTATATAACGTCGATATATTTGATATCGAGTGTGGCATCCACGACGGCACGGTACAGTTCAACTATACACCCATTACGACAACAATTCAATGCAATGTTTTCAAATCGTTCCATTGTATTAAAATTATGCAACACCGTCTGCAGTACATCGTGTTTAATACTCGATCAAGATCATATAAGAATACGGCGAAAGAGACATATATGTAAATAACTAACGTTTACATATCAAACAAAAGACAGTAAATAAATGTGGTCCTGATGTTAAATAAATATTTAGCTAAATTGTATATAATATATTAGAAAATTAAGTGAACGCACACAACTGAAGACACAAAATAAAACTGTAATCAAATAAACATTATTATTATTAATATTTTCATTAATTCCGATTAGTTGTGCCACTTTTTATAGAATACGTAAATCTGATCTATTTATTAAAGTGAGAGTGTTTTTTTTCTTTCACATTATGATAGTTTAGACTTTATGACAAAAAAGGACATCAGAGATGTAAACACGAAATTCAAGAAATATAAAAAAAAAACTTTCCAGACAAAATAAGTTGCTTTCATACATGGAAACAGTATCGGAAAGTTTTTAA